ATAGTATTTATTTTATGCCTCATTGACAAACCCAATAAAATCACATAAATTATAGACATATCTGTTCCAAACACTCACAATGTTCAAAACACATGCAGTGAAAAAATCAGCAGGTACACAGAACTCGCCCAGGAAATAAGACTTTTATGGAGGATGGATAGGGTTATTATTATACCTGTCGTTCTTTCCTCTACAGGTGTCATACCACACATGCTAGACATAAGACTGGGAACATTAAAATTGAATAGAAACACATACATTATGCTACAGAAGGCCACTATATTGAATACATATCATATTGTTAGGAAATTCCTGAATACAGACATACACTGACACACTTATTGAATTTTTGTCTTGTTTTGGTTACTATGCTGTGTCTGGTGTAATACACAGCCATCGTTGTCAACCAAGTGTAACTCACAAAACTCAACATAATAATAATAATAGATTTATGGCATTACGAAATTCTACTAATAGTATCATATCATACGTTTTTGAGGGGAATAACATTTTGGTGTGCTGTGTTGAGTCATGTCGAGTCAGAGGTGTGCCGTGAGTAGAAAAAGGTTGCGGAACACTGTTCTAATCTATGGCGACACATTAAGAGAGCATAATCAAAAACTGATAAAAGTCTTACAAAGAGCAGAAACTCATGGCCTTAAATTTGAAAAAAGCAAGATCCAACTGGCACAAAGGCAAGTCATTTTTGTAGGGCACATAATAGGACCAGACGGTATAAAACCAGAAGAATCAAAACTTATTGCCATTCAACAATTAAAAGAACCAGAAAATTAAAAAGCCCTACAAAGATTCTTTGGATTAGTGAACTATTTAGGCAAATTTATACCTAATTTATCAAATCTCGCATACAATCTAAGGCAGCTGCTCAGGAAAAATATTGAATGGACATGGACAGAAGAGGCAAGAAGGGATTTTAATTATATAAAGAAAATTCTAACTCAGCCTCAAACGTTAGCACAATTTGATACAAACAAAATTATAACCCTATATACAGATGCCAGTCAACATTCTCTAGGAGCAACAATTTCACAGGAAGGAAAACCTTTAGCTTTTTCATCATCATTTTTGAATGATACACAACAAAACTATTCCCAAATTGAAATGGAACTACTCGCCTTATATTATGGATGTAAAAAATTTGATCACCTGCTACTTGGAAGATCATTTGTAGCATATACCAACCACCAACCTTTAATCATGCTAATTAAAAACTGTTAGGTGCATTGTCTCCTAGACTGCAGAGATTAATGCTAAAGTTATTGGCATACGACTTCAAGTTATACTACAAGCCGTGAAGAGATAATTTTATTGCAGATGTTCTTTCAAGGGACATAAAGCATTCTACATCCAATTTTTCAACACCAGACCTAGATGATCAAGTATTAATAAGAACAGTTGGTATGAAAATTACAGACATCAAACTCATAGAATTAGCTGAAAACACAAGACAATATCAAAGTCTGCTGGCTCTAAAGAAATACATATTAGATGGATGGCTGGTACATAAAAAGTCTATCTCGTCAAACATCAAATGCTACTACGATTTTAAAGAAGACCTATACCTATGGAAGGATATTATATGTAAAGGACCTGCCATAATAATTTCAGAGTTCTACAGCAAATTCATGCTGCACATTTGGGAATCAACACTTCACTCAGTAGAGTGAGGAATAAGGTATATTGGCCAGGAATATATCGTGACATAGAAGAAGTAGTAAAATCTTGTAGACAATGTCAAAGGTTTTGACCAGCTCAGACAAAAGAACCTCTGATACCTCACAGAGTCCCTACATATCCATGGCAAGAAGCAACAGCGGATGTTTTCTATTTGGCCAACAGTCCATATTTACTAATTGTAGATAGATACAGTGCCTATCCAGAAGTTTATAAAATGCCATCGACTGATGCTTTCATAGTTATTCCCAAGTTCAAAGAAACCTTTTTGCAATTTGGAAGTCCAGAAATATTGATGACTGATAATGGTCCTCTATTCTTTTCAGTAGCTTTTAATCACTTCTGTGACAAATGGAGTATCAGGCATTGTACATCTAGTCCTTGATATCCCCAGAGTAATGGCCACATAGAACGGCATGTGCAAACAATAAAAAACATACTTAAAAAGACAACAGAAGCAGATCAAGATTAGTATTTGGCTTTGCAAAACTGGAGAGGCACTCCTAGGAACTCATTACGATCTCCAGCTCAGCTGTGCATTGGAAGAAACTTAAGGTCAACACCTCCATACAAATCATTCCATTATCACCAATGCCAATTTTGTAGAGAGGATATCCAACAACAACTAGAGCAAAACCAGAACAGGATGTCAATGTATTATGACAGAGGTAGTGTTCCCCTCAATCCGTTGAGACCGTCAGCACGAGTTTTAGTGCATACAGGAAAAGAATGGTCTCCGGCAACTGTGTGAGGGCCGAGGGTGGGAGAAATTTAAAAAAGTCGACAAACGATAATATGTGATATATATCGTCATCGTCTCCCTTGCTGTTTGGATTGCCGAGCGGTAACAATCAACGACATGTGGAAGCAGTTGAGTCAGAGATAGATGCTTCGTTTACAAACAACACAACCGTTTATTAAACACAAAAGAAGCTTACAAAATTTCCGCGATCTTGGAAGTTCTGCAGCGGCTGCGGCCTCTGGGTCTTCCTCTCTTTTCCAAGATAGTTCCATTTTGGAGGAGTGTCCCTTGTTCGCGAATGAACCATTCTATCACGTCTCGACGACTTCAAGATGATGCAGTTGACTTTCATTGATGGAAAGATGTCGATCTGTGGTCAGGAGATGGAGACGAAGATGGTTGCGAGACACACGCACAACAATAGATCCGTCACTTGGAACTTTCGGGAGAAGAAGCCGTCGCGTCCTTGAATTTCCGGGGTTTTATCTGTTTTCTCTCAGATTCCCCTTTCCGATTGGTCTATCCTCATCACCTGATGACAATTCGAAACCTTTCGGGGGTGCAGGAGAGGTCAAAATTGAAGTTTAATTCGATCTCCAACCGGAAATGGTCGACGGACTTACATTCTTCTATTGTTTAAAAGTTAGCATCGCGTTTTCGTAAAATAAAAATCTATTTCTAACAACTATATATTTTTTTCTTTAAAACAATTATTTTTTGCAAATTTTAGTGAGGGTTTGGACCTGTCCAGAGCCTCACAACTGTTGTAAAACCTCTAAATGAACCCAGATCATAGTTAATAGAAGACTCACATGGTCAACATTACCGAAGAAACAGAGTGCATCTGAAACTGAATCACAGCCCCAGAAAAGCACCTCAAGAGAAAGGTGAAGAGAAACAAGAAAATGGAAAGGAACAAACTGAGGAAAAGGAAGAAGTAGCAATCTCAAAAGAAAACAAGTTTCAAACTCGACACGAACAACTAGATCAGGAAGAATCATTAAAGCTCCTGTTTGACTCAATTTGTAAATATGTATGTATTTAAGTTTTATGTGTTTAGTCATTTCATTTGTCAAATAAAAAAAAAAAAAAGGGAACATGTTATGGTAAGATCTGGCAACACCAGAGAGAGAGGGACGTGCAAGACAGATGGCCCTGACTAATGTGTAAGTGTGGAGATCGCCTGGTCCAAGTAGGACTTTGAATAAAGCATTCAGAGTAAGTGTCTATTCCTGTCTCATGGGGGGGTCTTAAGTGCATCACGAAGGGCGTATAAACATTAAGTAAACAACATAAAACAAAGAACACTCCTTGAAACTTGAGAAAAGTTATTATAAGATAATGATGAAATTGTAAAGTGTCTGTTTTCTCGAACTTTTGCATCAACTTTCTGCAACAAGACTTCAGTATTGACAGACAATCAGTTGTCCACTATGCTCCTCATCATGGACATTAGTACAGTAATCTTTAAATTGTCTAACCCATTTTCTTACCATTCCATCGCTCATAATGTTTTTTCATACACCTCACTAATCTGCCAATGAATGTCAGCTGCTTTCACGCCTTTTGCATTAAGAAAACGAATCATCATGCATACTTCATAGTCAGCAGGATTTCAATTGTCTGAGGCATTTTAAACCCTTTTGTAATGGCATCTGTGACTAGACAACAAATGTAGGTACTCAGTGTGCATTTATGGAACACTGACTGCAGTGCTGCAGCGGCCCTATTTTAAAATAGTACTTACTTAAAATACACGCCTTGTATGTATTATGCAGGTTTATACTTGTATACACGCATCATTTAAGCTAATGTCTTGTGAGTTCTATAGAAATTTCTGTGACTTCTCTTTAGTGCCTGAAGAGTAGAAAGAATAAAAACAAACAAATTTTCTGTAGTGAGTATGCACATGTTTATGCTATGGCATCAGTCCCATTTTTTTATTACTGCATCTTGTATATTATGCAGATAAAACAACTTCATTATTAACCTGTACAATGTATTTTTTTAAATTATGTTAATTCTGTAGTATCAAAAAATATGAGAAATAAAACTCTTTATTTTTCATTTTTTTATATTTACAACAAATATATTTAGTTTGTTTCTAAAAGTGCTACCATAGATATATTTCATACAGGATCACTAGAACTATGTAATACTTTACACAGTAGCTTGCAATTTTTTGATATTTTTATTAATCAAAATAATATTTTACATAATGCTAATAAATGTCAAATTACAGGTTTAGTTTTGTTAGTAGAGTTGTCAGGTATGTTCCTTTTTCAGGATGGTAACATTACTAGTAGTAAAAATACTAGTGATTTTAGTATCCCTATCATGTGGAAGAATCACCAGAAAATATATTTAGAAATGAATCTCAAGTTATGTTTTTACTAAATGCAAAAGATGTGGGTTCAGATTCCAATGAAGAGCCAAATATTTTCTTGCCTCAATTATAATTTTTTCATTGAATGGATATATTATTTATAACATGCTATAATTTATTTGTTTATTAAAAATGTTAATTGTTATATAAATATGTTTTTTTATGTAAAAAATTTAGGTAGCTTTACTTGGTCTCCAGATGATATGGACAAGAGATGCTGAGGAAGCTTTGTCTCGTGCAACTTTTAATAGGAAAATAATGGGAGCTGCAAATAGAAGATTTGGAGATATTTTGAGAAAACTAATTAAACAGACAACTTATGATTTATCAGAATACCAAAGAACAAAATTTGAAACATTAATAACAATTCATGTTCATCAGAAAGATATTTTTGAACATTTGGTAAGTTTTAAGAGGAGATTAGTATTTTTATATATGCAATAAGACCCCTTTTAATGCTGCCTTACTTAACGCTGATTCGATATAATGCGGTATACTGTAAGCGTAAAGAAATCTCAAAATTTATATTGATATAAATTATTGTGGCCTTTTACTGATTCATACATAATACAATTATTTACGAACACGAACCAATCAGAAAAAGGTGGCAAAAAGGTGTACTTTCTTTAAATCTGTTTGTTTGGTGTAATTTTGGAAAAAATATAGCATTATGATACCGATAGTGCCATAGGCAATATCGGTATTGTTTGGCAAGAATTAACTGATAAATGCACAAACGAAGTGTGGAAGAAGTTATCTAGGAGATGTATATGAACAGAATATTGAGGAGTTACTGCAGGTTTCTGGTGAGAGTCTTAACAACGACAAGCTTCAAGAACTGGCAGAACAAGGAATCCATGTAGAACTGGAAAATAGTGATTCTGAAAACAAAGAACTCAAAAAATTTTTCTACAGACTTACTTAATAAAAGTTTGGTAATGATAACCGAAGTTGTTGATCAAATTGTAGCGAATGATCCAGATTTTGAAAGGAGTGCAAAAGCAAAATGAGGCGTTTTGGATGCAATCTTTTGCTACCAACATTTGCTTAAGGAAAGAAAAAACCGACAAATGAAAATTTTATTGCCAAAAAACAAGAATATTAGAAAAGTCAGGATCTTCGTCACAAAATCACCTATTAGAAGTTACATGCGTTTACTTAGGGCTGAAATGGATATAAAATTTATCTTTGGCATCATGTTAAAAACTGGCCTTCTAAAAAAAATAGTAACAGTTGCTTTACTCTTAGATTAACCAATTGAAAATGTTATTAATGTTATCCATAAATATTATGATTTTATTTTAAAAATATTTTTAACATTAGAGTTCCTAAAATTATAAATTTGTTTTGTGTAACTCCTCTGCCATATTGAAGTTGTTAATATGCGTTTTATCAAAATAAAACGCCCTTGTAACAGGCGAAAGCCTTCTACGCCAATAAAGACTACTTACTTACTTACTTACTCTGCCATATTGACTGGCCTTTCTGGTATTTAGCCAATCTGGTCCTGCACTTACTCACTGACATTCAAATGGAGTTTGGTCTAGGCAATGCAGAGCACTACATTAAATAAAAAGAATCCTGAAGAAAGGTGTTTTTGTAGCCTTTTTGGAAATGAAGACATCATTGAATTCATAGTCAAGGGTCAAATCTACAAATATTTAATATTCTAATATGGCAAATTCACAGAACACACTCAAATAAAACAAAGACTAACAAAAGAATACAATAGCAGATTAAACTCAATACTGACAACACAGCTAAATGCAAAACACACATTTAAAGCTGTCAATACATACATTGTCCCAATACTGACATATTCATTGGAGTTATACATAGTACACATGCAGAACTAGAACAGCTTGAAAGAAAAACAAAAAAATATTAACAAAACACAACAAACAGCACTATAAGTCATCCATAGGAAGGCTGACTCTTCTTTTTAAAGAGGGCGGGATATAATAATAGAATCTATTGAAATAATTATTTAATTTGAAAAAGCAAATATGCTAATAAAAAGATATAAAATACAAACAACATAAAAATCAGCTAAATATATTATGTTACAATATCAATAGGAATTAACCTTTTGCTCTTACTTATTAATACAAAGATTATATACTTATTAAAGAAATGCTATTACTTATTAACACAAAAATCTTTGTACTAAAATATAACAACATTTGAAATGATTCTAGATTTAAAATTATTATTGATGATGATAATTTCAAATCTAGAATCATTTTGAATCTGAATCATCAGAATACTGAACAGAAGTTAAATTACTGTAAATTTGTATGACTAACTCATAAGTTATATGTTTCAAAATCTATTTTAAAATGGACATGGTTTATTTGCCAATTCTAACTTGTAATTACAAGCTCATCAAATGGCTTTTCCTTTACCTAATCTTAGCAAGAATGTCTTTAAAAAGCTTGAAAAATGTTTTGCATATTGCAGACATATTCATCTGCCATTGTGATTTTTTAATTTTAATTGTTATAAATTTTTATTATTATTGCATATTTTTATTTTTATTTAAATAAAATTGTGAGATCCGACCTCAGAATAAGCCCAAAATTGTTCATTTTTCCCTTAAATTTTTGACATATTTAAAATAAATTTGTCACCTCCTCGTTAAAATAACATTGTCAGAAAAAAGAATCATATATCGATTGAAACTTATAACTTTCATCGTTAATATAAACATTCAACCCTCGAACAATGACATTCCTCTGCTGCAAGACAAAAAGTTTATAGTTAAAGTCTGAATTTGTCATTTTGTTTTGGTCCCGGGAACAACTTTAACCTCCACACCTGCAGGACCAACTCTATCTCACACAATAGGAGATCACCTGACTAATTTCTCCTACCTGAAGCTATAAAAGCGACTTCTTTCCCCCTCCTCGGGGGGGTCTCACATCTACGGTTGTCGGAAAGGGTTAAGTCGCGGAAAATTTTAACTGTGTGCATCGATTACCGGCAAAAAGGACTAACTTTTTCCTACCTACGTGGAAGTAAACTAGAGGTATGGAACAATTAATGTAAACTCTCTCTCTGCGAGTTAGGAGCTAGTGAACTAAAGTCACTTCCCTGATGTTAGATTTTTGTATTTTTTAAATTTTTTTCTTTTCGTTAATCTAATAAATTGTTGTTTCATTGTTAAATGGTGTCCTTTTACTCATATATCGCCTACGCCTCGTCGACGACAAAAAGAATCCCGACTCTTCAGGACCGCATTCGAAATTTAGCCATCTTTACAAGTGAGAAGGTTTAACGACCTGTCGCCAAAAAGGGAGAGTCGACAGTTCCTGACCTCCCCGGCGGTTCACAAAATTGTTAGATATAATATTTTATATTTTTTTTTATAATTTTATAAACCCTCATATATATTAATTGAAAATATAAGATTATAAGATTATTTATCATTTGTGATTTCAAATTTTCATAATTTTTTAAAATAGTAAATGGATGAAGATGATACAGACAAAAAATTTGATGATATTTTTTGTATGAATAGAATTAAACAATGCATTTTAATTTTTTAAAAGTATATTTAAAATTTATTTAAAATTAAAATTTTATTAATGTTTCAGGTAAAAGCTAATATAAAATCACCTATGGAATTTGAATGGCTAAAACAAAACAGATTTTATTATGATTTGGACAAATTAATGTGCATTATTCGAATCACTGATGTGAATTTCATTTATCAGAATGAGTTCTTAGGCTGTACAGAAAGACTTGTAGTTACACCCTTAACTGATAGGTAAGTAAAATGGAAATTTTTAAAATTCAAAATTAAAACTTAATATACTATATTACTTGATACATAAGCATTTCAACTCTTCAATAAATGTCAATTAAAATTTTTAAAATTCAGATGTTATATAACACTTGCTCAAGCAATACGAATGTGTTTGGGTGGAGCCCCTGCCGGTCCAGCAGGTACAGGGAAAACTGAAACAGTAAAAGATATGGGAAAAACATTAGGCAAATATGTTGTTGTGTTTAATTGTTCTGATCAAATGGATTTTCGTGGATTAGGACGCATTTTCAAAGGTAATCTTTTACTTATCAGTTTTTATTTTAGTTACACTTATGGTATTCACTATACTATAAGTATACTGTCAAAGGTTTGAGGTAAATCATTCACTATATCAGATGTTCAACATTTATATATAAAGAATAGCAACAAAATTGTTTACTGTATTAGATAATCATTATATCAAGAGCCCCTTTATAAAAATTAAGCACAATATTCTGTATCTAAATAATTATCCAAGTTATATATTTATACATATTTATTTATCAGTTTATTTAATTGGATTTTCATATTGGATGATAATGTGTAATTTTGATTCAGGTCTTGCACAGTCAGGTTCCTGGGGATGTTTTGATGAGTTCAATCGAATAAACTTGCCTGTTTTATCAGTAGCAGCACAACAAATCAATATTGTGCTTACTGCACGTAAAGAAAGAAAGAAACAATTTATATTTTCTGATGGTGATACTGTAGAACTCGATTCAGAATTTGGAATATTCATTACTATGGTAAGATATTTATTTATTACTATGTAATATTTTAAATATTTTGTATCTTTAAATTTAACTATTATTAATTTTATAAAAATTAAAAAATATAAATAAGTGAAGTCTCATTTCAAACATAAAATAAACTAAAAAATTTTTTAAGAAAACAAAAAATAAATATAATGAACTAATTTATTGGAGCATATTTTACATTAAAATGATAAGAAGCTTGTTATATTTTATATCATTCGTATTTTATTTTAAGCTGAAATTTTATGAAAGAATAATAATAATTAATATTTTTATCCATCAACAAATATGTTATTAAAAGCATAAAAGTACTAGATAAAATATGTTCTTCTTTAGTTTAAATTTTATAAAAAATGGGACTTATACATAATCTGTGCAAGAATCTCAACGTAAAAAATTATTAAAATGTTATTTGAAATATACAAAAAAATAAATTGCTTATTTGCAATATCTCTCTTTTTAACCATATTAATAAAATTTATATTATGCTTTTAAATATATCACATAACTTAAGCAAAATATAATAACATAAATTTTCAAGAATAAGAAAACAATCATTATTAAATTATTTTTAAAATGTTTATCTTTAGAATTAAAATTTTCAGTTAGTGAATTTTGAACATTTTTACATAAATTGCATATGATAAATATTTTTTTATTGGAATATTTGCATTTTTATATTGAATAATTATTTCTTTTTAGTTATTATGAATTATTATATTAAATTGAAAAAGTTATCTGTTTGTAGAATCCAGGATATGCAGGAAGACAAGAATTGCCAGAAAATTTAAAAACACTCTTTCGAAGCGTTGCAATGATGGTTCCAGATAGACAGGTTATTTTACTTAAAAATATTAAATTAAAAAAAATAATATAGATATGTAATTTATAATTTGAAGTAAAATTAATATTTTTTTATAATTTCTTTTCAGATAATTATTCGTGTAAAATTAGCTAGTTGTGGATTTCAAGAAAACATCATTCTTGCCCAAAAGTTTTTTGTTTTGTATAAATTATGTGAAGAACAATTAACTAAACAGGTAAAAACAAATTAACACATAAGTAAATAATACTTAGAAAATAAACAAAATGAAAAAAATTATTATTAATATAAACATTTTAGGAAAATAACTTTAATTAAACTTTTCAAAAAAAAATTATCAGTTGATACATCATAGGATGTCACAGGCCGCACTTGGAAGTATAGCCGCGGAACCAGAAATGGAAAAGAGGAAGAAAATGTATTAATGAAGAAGTTAGAGTGAAGGGGAAAATAAAGTGAAATAGGATAGTGGGAAAGATGTGTAGGAGTTCATGGGCACCTGCATTGCATTTATTTAAAACAAAAGCAATATACAAGTTACAAACATTGATACATTTACTAGTACATAATAGTTAATACATAAAAGCAGGAAATACATAAAATATTTGGCATGACAATAGTATTGCTTACAGTCTAATTGTGTACCTTATTTGAGCAGGCTATACAGAACAAATTTTGTAACATAGCATAACTCTGAACTTGTTTATGTGGGTTCCATGCAGATGAGAGAAATAGAAATTGATGGTACAGGGTAATATAACACTGCCTTTAGAGGACATTACAATGATACTAGACTAAGCAGTACAACTTACAAATACCGAATTACAAAGATTACATATTAGTGTACGCCCCTAATTGGGACCTGGAACAGATGAAACATGATGGTTAGAGAACAGTTTTAAAATAATACATGACATATACTTACAATATATAAAGTGGTGCATAAAATGTCTGTGCAAAGTACTACAGAGGTAAGTAAAGATTTACAGCTTTCTAAACAGTAGAGCTGGTTTACCCTTGGAAATGGCACTTTACAATGTGCATTTTACATTATGTACAATGTGTTAGAGAAGGTGTTCTACCAGAAGCCCAACAGCTGAGCCCTTCATGTTGTTCAGTCTAGGATTTTAATGTCCGAAGCAAATTTCTTTAGGGCTTTGAAAATTTTGCTGTTACTTACAAAGTCTTCCTGTGGCATGGCCATAGTTCATTTTCCTTTTGGATTGTGCTGATGAGTTCCTTCCTCTCTGCTTTATAGATGGGTCAGGTCCAGATGATTTACTCTGGGTTTTCTTCTTCGTTGAGGACACATGGACACTTCCCGTCTGTCTTTTGCAGAAACCTTTTTAGGTAACTGCAGAAATTGCCATGCCCAGTCAACAATTGGGTAGTGTGGTACATAGGAACTAGATTACTTGTAATTACTCCTCTGGAGGACATCTTGTATGAAGCTGTAACTTGTCCTTCCTGTAGAACTGGTGTCCCATCTTTCCTGCCAAATCTTCCACATGTGGTTGCAGATGTTCTTCTTTAGCCAGCTGATTAGCCAGTTATTTGTTATCCAAAGTAAGGCCTTGTGGATGGCCAGGGATTTGGCCTGGTTAGCTGTACAGTGATTGGTAAACCTGTTCTGAGCCTGATGGATGTTATTGCTGTTCTTTATAATGACAACAGAAAATCCCACTCCCTTGTCAAACTTCAAACCATCAGCGTAGACACAGAGTCCCATTAGTTGATACATTGTAGGAGGCGGTGACGGGCCGCACTCATAGGTATAGTCCCGGAACCAGAAAAGAAAGGAAGGAGTAAAGTTTATATAAGAAGAGAGTAAGGTGAAGGTGAAAAGAAGTGAGATAGGATAGTTGAAAGTTGTTGAGGGATCCATGGGCACCTGCATCGTGTTTAATTGGATTGAAAACAAAGTACATAATATTTACAAAGATGAGCATACAATTACAGTAGTACATGTTTTTGTGGTGTGATAATTGAGAACAATTTTACCGATACGCATACATAATACAAGCTTGTTGAGCTGACAGAAGTATGTATGATAAATTTCTCAGGTACTGTTTGTGGTACTAACATAAGAATGGGATACTTTTTATTGATTAAAAAAGGGAATAATGTCACCAAAACAGGCCAAAACAATTATGATGTGATAATACTATTTGTAAAGCTGCAATTTGCACCCAGAGGTACAGTTACACGCATAGTTAGTAGCCCTTAACAGAAAACACGTTACACCTGAGAAACAACACATGATCTGTAAAGTCTAACTGCAACTTACAATTTAGTATGAGTGCCTAGGGAGCACTTACAATGTGTTACCAAACTAGACAAAGTATTTACAGTGATAAATTTAGTAGAGCAGGTTTGACCGCAGAAGTAACGTTACACAGTGATGGATTAACCTACACTAAGTCCTTGCACTTAAGAAGAAGCCCTCATAGAGGTACCACAGGTACATTTTCAAAGATTCTCAGTCGAGGATTTTTATATCCAATGCAAAAGTCTTCAGGGCTTTGAAGATATTGCTGTTATCTTTCATATAAAATTTAAAAGGAATGTGCTCAGCAAAATAATAATTAATAACCAAACACCTTTATCGTTGCCGAGAAAATTTAATTAAAACAAATGTTTTTGACCTATTCCATAGGCCATCGTCAGGTTTAAAATGGACGACAGAAAGATTCTGTTCCACAAGATTGAATACAAATATTAAAATTTCAAAAAACACTGACAAAAGATTCAAAAGATAATATAGTAGTAATGTATAAAAAATAAAATAAAAACAAAAATAAAATAAAAATAAACTCAGAAATACTACTAAATATAAGTATCTACTAATACAATAAAATTAAAGTGTAAATTATGAGTTTGCGGCAGATTTTTTAACAGTATACTTTTAGGCCGATGGAAGGCCTTTCATGTCCCTCATATTAATACAAGCCTCCTTTAATTTGCTCTTATAAATCTCTATTTTCTCAGCAGTCTTCGTTAATGTTGGGGATCTCACTGGCTTGATAATGCTTGCATCATCCCATTTAACTACTGAACTTTGTGTCTGAGCCATCTGAGATAGTACCATTGCTAAAGGAGCACAAGTATAACATCAAAAAAAGTTTGAACGTGACAGTACTATAAAGAAATCAATGCAAAGACATAACTTTATAAGAAATAAATTGTTATTTTAACGAAGACGTTGTCAAACTAACTTGTTTATTTAATCTTTTAAACATGAAATTAGCCTAAATTGGCTTCATTCATTCAAAATGAAATCAGCTGATGGAAAATTTGTTACACAGGTTTTCCTATACAAATTCCCCTTATAGTCTAAGGCAGGGGTGGCCAAAACGTGGCGCATTGGACGATTACAATTGGCGCTTCAGTCAGTTCTGAGCAACATTGCCAGATTTGGCTTCTTTGCAATTATGAATATTACATAGAAAATTAATTTTTTATAGTCTGTCTTGGCAAGTTCATTTGTTGCACAATTTGTTGCAATCAACTTTACAGATAAAATGAGTGTTCTCCACATAGTAAATTACAGTGTATGCATGTATGTTTATTTTCGATCAGTTTACAGGTGTCTAAATGACAGTGCTAACGTCCCACGATAGTGCTACCGTCCGGACTGTCCAGGAATCGGAATCGGATTAGACTACTAACTTCTTTTCCCGAGTAGTTCCTGCGACACCTGTTTTTTGCCTGTATGGTACACGATACATTCGTGTTCATGTACACCACTAATATCTTAAAGAACTATTTTATACGGGTAACTACACTACAACCGCATTTTTCATTGCTTGTTCTGTGGCAAAACTGAATTTTCGTCTTATAAATTGAAATACCTAATTAAGGGGAGGCCGAAATTTTTCTCCAACCCGGGCGGCTAACACTCATGGTATGCCACTGCGCATCTGAACTCGTCTATCAAAAAATTGGCGCATGGTATGCAAAAGGTTGGCCACCCCTGGTCTAAGGGGTAAAAACAGTTTAGTCTTTAGATACATGAATAGAAAACATTTTTAAAGCTTAAAGAGTTAAATTAATAATAACAGTTTTGATAACAAAATTTTAACTTGATCAACATATGATAATGATATTTATTAATACTTTGCTAGTGCAACTCATTTAAACACTGGAAAGTTAATTTTTGTAAAACACAAAGGACAAATCTCACAAATTCATGATTTTACCTGTTACTCTATAGGGATGGCTGGCATAGACTCATCTATAGTCAACATAGGACATATGTTTAATGAAAAAACTGTCATTTCCAGCACTAACAAGTGCTCGAAATGATGAACACTGTGCATCAATTGTAAGTAGTAGGCATTGTATAATATTTCAATGTTTTGTAAAATGGCTGTGTGCAGAAAGTTGTCAATCAATAAAGCTTTAGATTTAACAAATGATAATCCTAGATCAAAAATATATAAATACCAAAATAAGTGCAAAATAAAATGTTTGAAGCTTTTTTTTTCATCTTGATGTGAGGAATACTTATTGGACTATTTCAATTTAAAAAAAGACATTTTATTATAATTTTTAAAATATTTTTTTATTTTTAATGATTATTCTATTAATTGTTTTAATGTTAACTAAGATACAAAATAACAAATTTTAAAATATTAGAACATAAAATATTGTTGGTTATTTTTAAATTACAAAGGCTAACCTTTAGTCTGAAAAGTGTTAACAGAATTACTAATACAAGTTTATTGATCTGTTTGAAATATTAATAGTAATAATTGAATAATAAAAATGAATTTTATAATTGTAAACAGGTCCATTATGATTTTGGGTTAAGAAATATTTTGTCAGTTCTTCGAACTCTCGGATCAGCAAAACGAGCCAGAGTTGGAGAAAGTGAATCCTCAATTGTAATGAGAGTTTTGAGAGATATGAATTTATCTAAATTGGTTAGTTATTTCAAAATAATTTTATTGATTAAATCATAAAGTTATACAGAAATATAATTTATCAGTCTATTAATATTATGTACATATACTGTATTGTAAAAGTCTATTTGAATCTAATATTTTGTGGTGTGACGGGTTAATGAAAACCGTTAAGAGTCATATTGCACAATCCGTTAGAGCCATATTATAATACTAATAGTATTATAATACCATAGTACACAATTCGTTAGAGCCATATTATAATACTAATTATAACTAACTTAACCTAAAATAAAAACTAATATAATCTAGGTTCGAAAAAAAGTATAGAAAGGTTATGTTAAAAGGAAGTCCCCCTTATCTGTATGACAAGTTGGACGTATACTCCCTGACCACATGGACTCATTCCCTTCTCTCCTGATGTGGTTCTCCCTTCGCTTGCTTCTCCCAGAATGAATAAGAAAGTAAAGTCTTCTATGCTGCCTTTTTGGTTGGTGCCCTCTTCTCAGCCCAAAACTAGCCAGAAAGTGCATATAGGTCGGAAGAGTCAAACAAGGAAAAATAGTGCAGGTTATTTACATAGAAGAGGAATTTACAGATAACATAGAATATTAATGAACAAAACATATATATATATACATGGTGGGATACACCACAATTTGTGTAGAAATTCAAATTAAAAAATAGAAGTGCAGTTAAATTACAGATTGTAGTAAAAACCCAGTAGTGATCATTTTGAAAGTTTTATATTAATCTAATTTTGCAGAGAGATAAATGCTAAATTTTTCTGAAAATTAGGTCAATATAACCAACTTTTGAAATGTTTGATAACAGAACAATAAAATTAGTTTTTTAAAGTTGAAACTTAGCACTAATTAATTTCACACCTTTTTTACTTCTTTTAGCAATAAATAGTTTTTAATAAAGTACTGTATTGATAGATGTATGGAAGGTGCGAAATTAATTACAAAAAAATAAAATTATGCAATTGTGTAAAATGAGGCAATTTTTATCTAATTTTAACAAATTTTACTATTTATTTAAATATAATACTGTTCTAACATTCTGTTTTTTTTTTTAAACACACTTATATATATTTCATTCTGTTGATTTATAAAATAGGAGCAATAAGTAATTTTTAAAATATTGAAATATGCTAAAAATTAGTTATTTAATTATTACTTATTACTCCTTTTTATTATGACATAAATGATTTTAAACAGTTGCAATTATATTTAAATGCTTGTAGATAAATAACTACAATGTATTTTCAATGATATTATTCATTCACAGTTGGTGAAACAAATTAGTAATTACTTTCAGATTTATATTAAAACGAAATTTATTCAATAAGTTTTCAAGCTTTATTTGACTCTAAGCATTCAATAATGCTTGATAAATATTTTAATTAAATAATTAATTTTATTCAGATTGATGAAGATGAATCTCTGTTTATGAGTCTTATAACTGATCTGTTCCCTGATATTGATCTTGATATGGCAATATATGAAAAGCTGGATAACAAAATTGTGGAAGAACTTGAAAATGAAGGGCTTATAAATCATCCTCCATGGAAAATGAAAATAATTCAAGTAAACTTTTAAAACATAATATAGTAGAGCGTTGATTTTCCGAATCAATTGGGGACTGGGGTTGTTCATATAACTGATATTTTGGATAACCGATTTATGTACGAAAAAATAGTTTAACATATCCGATGTTGAAATTTTTCTCCATTGCATGTCGCTTTGCGTTGAATTTTTGCTGATGTTAAGCCTAACAAAGACTATTGTATCATTAAAAATTATTTTTTTATTTTGTACAAACAAAATAAATATATTGAAAAATATAAAAAGAATAAAAAATTATACTTCAGATGTTAATTTAGTATCAAAAAAGTAAAATATTTGAGTAGCCCAAGACATAGCCAAAGATTGAAGTGCCACAGCACTGGCGAAAATTTAAATTTGCCGACTGGAATTCTTTCGGATGATTGACATTTCGGATGATTGACTTTCGGAAAATCGACGCTCTACTGTATAAGCATTTCTTTTAAATATTTGAAAGTCAAATATTTTGAAATAGAAGTATTTTAATGATTTTACTTTGTGATAAAATATCTGATAGATAATCTGAAAATAGCATTGAAATTATATTAATAAGATTTGTGAAAATTAATATTAAAATTTAATTATTAAAAAATTACATTGCTTTCATGTTTTTATGATGAAAGTTTTTCATACAATTTCAAAAAATGCTGTAATTTAAATCAGATTTTAAAATTTTTTGTTAAAGATAATTATTTTATTATAATCTTAGTTGAAGAAGAAAGATGAATAATTATTACAAAATATAAAAAAAAGAAAGAAAAATTTCATTTTGGAAAATTAGCTAAAATTTCTAATAAAACATGTTTAGTTATTTTGATTCTTTTATTTATTATACAGTATTAGAATCTATATTATAAAGGAATAAAAATAAAAAAATAACTAAAATTTTATAAGTGTTAGATTTATTTTTAGTAATCTTTTGTTCATCTTTCTTACATTATATGACAAAGTTTCTGCTAGATTTTAGTTATGGATAAAAATAATCTATATTTGGATTATTTTTAGATAATTTTCAATAAAAAAACAATATAAATGAAATATATAATTAACCTTGTTAAAAAATTTCCTATTGGCCTAATAGGCTCTATTTAATTAATAGACTATTGTTTTACATGAAAATTGACTTAGACCTTACTGGTTCAGTAGGGTCTATTGGGTCTTAACTCTTAACTTTCATGTAAAATCAGTGTGTCTATTGAGTTTGAGTTGCAACCTAGAATTATCTATCTAATTCATTATTATTTTTTAAAATGAACACTTGATTGAAATAATAGATTTTTTTAAAGTTATTTTTAGTATGTAATATTTAGACATTTGTGTATATAGCAGTGGCATGCAGTGACATTTGATGATTGGGAAGCTGTGTTTGCATAAAAATTATAAACAAATACTGGAAATGACAAAAATGCAGTGGCGTCATTAGAAGCGTTGGAAGCGCCGCTTCCTCATATTCTCTAAAAAATAAATAAATATTAATTTTAATTATATGAAAATAATCGCACAATATTTTATTATAACCGCATTATGTATCTTATTACAAATTTCTATACTACACGTGAAAAAAAAAAAAAAATGCTATTGTATATTAGAATATTAGTGGCGGAGTAGAATCTCCTGTATTTTCAGATTACGAAAAGCCAGATTTGTGCATGCGCTTTACAGAGCACCAACCTCACCCGGTTTAGCTGGTGGAAGCCTACAACCTTGGGTGAAAGCTGCACACATATAAAGACTCCAATTCTATCAAGGACCGGTTTTCGGCTGTTAGCCGCCTGCCCACTAGATATTTCGATTACGTGAATAACGAGTAGATTTATAACTTAACCCAACCAATAAGAATTTATTGGTATGTTTTTACGATAATTCCGTATAGTTGACAGGAGTTAAAAAATCAATTAAAATATTTGATATATTTATTCCGCTCTCCGATTTTATATTACTCACGGATTTCGATGTTAAACCAGTGATATTACGATTTCGTACAT